AAATAGTTTAATATATATATATATATATATATATATATATATTAACTAGTTAGATTTTATGAATTTCATTTTCAATTGTAAAAAAAAAGTAAGTAATTATGAAAAAAAATCAAATTATACTATGTATTATATTTAATTTCATATTCAATTATAAAAATTTAATGATTAAATTTCAGTGCAGTTTACGATTTAAATTATGAGTTGATTTGATGAATTCGGATAATTTAAAATGATACCATTATATTTTTTTAAATAAAATAAAATTATTTACATAAAAAAATTTAATCTAATTTTTATTGTATTGACCAATTACAAATAAACTTATTAAGTTGTATAAGTTTGACAAAATCAATCCTCACTTTAATTTTTTAAACCCGATCTATGATTAAGCTAGATTGAATGAGTCTTAAATCAACTAACCAGATGAGCTGAGTTTACTAAACATTTATAGATTTGTGGGATATCCTCATTACAAAATGAATCTTCTCTCATTACAACCTCTCAAACAGCTAGGCCAACCAGGAAGTCGCAACCAGCCTAGTTGGGTTGTAACACAGTCCTAAAAGCTTCCTCGTTGCTTGTACTATTATGATAATAATGTATCATTTTATCAACAGAATTATTAGCAGTACTTAATGGTAGCCATATGTTCTTAAGTGTAATGAGTTGTTTGTTAAAGTATGGGTCTTTATTTTCCTAAAAGCGAAAAATATAGCAAGGGAAATGGGAGACACACGTGTAAGGAGTGAAGAGAAGATGCAATGCATATTGATAGAGCCAAACAAAAGACAAGAAAAGATTTTCTTTTCATGGCTATCACATGGTGGCTTCCATAATCTAAGGGAAGTATGTGATCGTGCACCTTAGGTATGGAGTTAGGGTTGTTGATGGAATGTTGTCAGCTTGTTCATTCTTTTTTTCTTTTTAAGAAAGATTTATCTATAATTATTGTTCAAGCCAATGTTGTTATTAAATAAGATACCACTAGCTGATCAATTTAGTAACTTGTATATTCAAAACTTTATTTAAATCAAATGTCAAATTAAATAAATGAAAATTGACTCATAACTTGGTTGACATGGTCAAAACTTTATTTGATTTTAAAAATATAAAACAATGTAATTTAAAAGAAAATCTTTTTAGATTAATTAAGATTAATCTACCTAATATATGAGCTGAGCCTTGAGTCATTTGATTGCAAAATCAGGTTTCATTACTTTGATTCAAACCAGATTACTTCTTAGTTTAATTAATTAGGATTGTTTGTTCTCAAAAAATATGTTTGGAATATTAATGCATGCAAGTGTGTTGCGCTATATTAAATTATATATTGACTTTTGTACAGGCCAATACCAAATTATTCTCCAGATAAGTTGCAGAAATTTAGGATTGTGTCTATATCAAGATCAGGGGTTGTCTCAAGGATTATTTAGGATAGCAAATAATTGAGAGGTCAAATTAATATTCGGGGCAGGTTCTTTGCTGCTTCCAAACATGGGAAGCATCACTGAGAGCCAAAACTTGAGATATAACATGTTAAAATAATTCATTTGATGTTGCAATCAGCATAAAATTAAATCTTCATTGAATTGAGTTAAGTTTTTTTTTTTTTTTGGTATTTGGGAGTGGAAGGGATTTTAAATTGGACATCCCAACTTGTAGAATGATTGGGAGTAGATTTGGAATTGGATTAAGTACTTTATAGCAATAAAATCACAAAAATTAATGAAAAAGGTAATTAATTTTAACTTGCTATTGACCTACTATATAACACATTAAATGTTTTTACCACAAATTGTTTTAAGCAAATTAAATGGTGATAAAATAAAATGTTGATGATGGATAGGAAAGTTATGCATTTATACAGGGCATAGAGAGTGCTAATTAACAGGTAATTACGGTTTAAAGAAGCTAAACATATCACATGATAGAATGGATAGACATGAAAAAGAAAAATAGAAATATATTTTGTTAAATAGATATAATATAAAATATATTTATTTATGAAAATTAATTATTTTTGTTACAAGAAAATAAAATTTCTCATTTCTTATCTTTATTTTTTTTATTCTAAAACAGTAATTGAATACTGCTTAATTAATAGAGTTCTATAAAAAAGAAAAGGAGAAGGAAAAAGTAACTAAAATTAAGGGCTATTAGCTAGACTATCATCGCGCTTGCGGTCCAATGTTTGTTCTATGAACTTGATCATAAAAGAAAAACAATCTGAAAATCTAGCTAATACGTGTGTTGGCAGACATAATTATAACCACTTTTTAGCAAACATCAATTAAAAACAAGTGTTTATTTGCAAATCTACTACCTGATCACAAATAATGATATTTAAAGTGGCAAGGCTGTTCCTTCGAAATGAGTAATTAAAGTGGGGATTAGTTTCAAATTAAATTAGATTTAGTTGTATCATTAAAGCTAATTAATTATGCTAATTGATGATATGTTAGGTATTGCTGGTAGATCAAACCCTTAATAAGATTACCTACCAAAAGCTATTAATTATACTATATAGATAAGGAAATTAATATTGACGCTTGAACTCAACTAAGCTAGCTAATTTCACCTATCCAAAAAACAACTACATAAGTTGCTTTCATTTCCTAGTCATTTTGATTTTCTTTGATTCTCATTGAATCCTTTAATGGCCATCAAATCTTTCTTATCACTACATGTTTAGATGCTCCCTAATTTTACAAGATATATCGCATCTATTTCATTTTTCAACCTATTCTAACCAAATTGTGTTTTCCCTTTAATACAACCCTACAAAACAAATAAAAAAATGCTGAGACGCAAAACTTCTCTTTTCTTCAACTTTTTTGCTCTCTTTCAGTAGTAAAATTATCTTTCAAACTAAGTTACTAAACTCATCTCAACTTCTAATTTAAGCTCAGATCCAAGTTAAGAGATGAGTAACTTAATTGTAATTGACTCAAGTAAATTTAAAATAGCGTTGTTTTAAAAAATTTAAAATAAAATAAAATAAAATGTTATTATTATTTAAAAAAATCAAATTTTAATTGAGTACCAAGTTAATTATATATTAGTAAATCAATTCTTATCCAATTTAATTTAAAATCCAACTTAAATCAAGCTAGGTTTAATAACAATGTTGCAAACTAATCTTCATCCCAAGCAAGCAAATTTCAACATCTTGCTCTTGTAGCTAGCTTGTAAAGTATATAGATTTGAAATATCAATTCCATAGTTGTTCAACTTTTAATTAATTGCATATATAAAATGGTGCAAGAACCACCATTCCCAATGCATACATACATCCATGATGGAGCATTTGAGCCGGTATTCCTTTTTTCACGCTTGTTCATGCATGTGTTCTGTTAAATTTTGCAGGAAAAGGTCATGTATAGTCATGATGCATGGAGCATTAACTAGTTTGCTGCTTGCTAGTGAACAATACAGCTAAATCGAGAGGTTCTGTTCGTACCTGGGATCAAGAAAGATTGATCAATCACATGCTATGCTTTTAGTGTTGATTGCTACAACTCACAGGCATGGTTTCAAATGTTGTGGTCCTCCAATTGCATTGCTATTATCAAATGCCTGAACAGTAACAGTTAATTATCAAAGGACCAGATGAATCAATGGGTCCATCTATGATATGTCAAATTAAATTAAAGAAAATTTTCGGATGGCATATAAAAGCCAAATTGTGATAAGATTTTTGTCAATATTTATAAGCTAGAAAGAGAACCTACATGCATACTAGTAGGAAAACAAAAATTTACCTATCCC